GGCCGGCGGGCGGCACGGCAGGGACTCCGCGGGACCCAAACACGCCCAGATGTTCCCGTGGAGGCAACAGGTGCCAGGCTGCCCGCGGGCTGGAGGGGCTGGTCCGGGACGCGCCGGGGCCCGGCCCGGCCCGGCTCGGCGGCGCGGCGGTGCCACCCCCTCCCTAGGGACGCCGGACGCCCTGCGGGAAGGCATCGCCCTGCCGCGCCGCCGCCGTGCCCCCGGGACCCCCGAGCCCGTCCCGGACTCCGTCGAGTAGGCCATGATTGTTGCCGCGCCGCCGCCGTGCCCCCGGGACCCCCGAGCCCGTCCTGGACTCCGTCGAGGAGGCCATGATTGTTGCCGCGCCGCCTTGCGTGGGGCCGCGTGGATTCGACAACGAGGAACACGGGGAGCGAGACCTTGGCCGCGGCGCTGCCGCTAGGGCCGCTGGGACCGCGGGGCCTCGGGCAACCCCGTGCCTGGCCGCCTGGAGGGGCGCGGGGCCGCGGGGACGTTCACGATTAGCGGGGGAGAGGAGATCGATCCGGAAAGGGAAGGACTCCTGTTCGCCGACAAGCAAGCCGAGCCAAACCAAGGATCCCCGAGGCAGTGCCGTGCCGGTGCCGCCGTGCCGCGGGGGCTGGCTAGCTGCCTGGCTGCCCTTGTGGGCAATCCTTCGCGCCGCTGTCGGCCGGGCCGGCCAGGCCTGTCACTCGGCTGGACACGCCGCACGCGCCGACCCTACTGCCCCCACCCCTCAACCCCCTCCCCCCCCCCTTCCAGCCCCCGCACAACCACAAACACCGTTCCTCCATTCAGCGCACGTGGCTCACACGCGTCATAGCGGGGCAGGGCAGCGCAGGGCAGCGCAGGGCAGCCGTGTTGTGGAAATGTTGGAAACACGTTGGTGGCGCGGAGACGCGGAGACGCGGACGGAGGAACCACGAGGCGGCTAGGCGGCGCCCTCCACTTCCTACAGCCACTGCCGCATGACGTGCCGCGCGCCGGGCAGGCGGCGGTGGTCTCGTTCTCGACCTCGTTACTCGCGGCCGTTGTCTTTGGGCTTTGGCGGAGAAACGGCGTCGCTCTTCTTCCTCGCCCCTCTTCCCGCCGCTGTTTGCCGGTTTCTTCTAGACTGAAACTGCACGAATCCGTTGCGTGCTAACCTGCGCGTTCCGCTGACTTTCAGTGACTAGCTGAACAGCAGTGCGAGCAGGGGTGTACCTGACTGAGACGAACGTGAGTACCCCTCGCCTCTCTTCCTCGCTCCGCCGCTGTTTGCCGTGTCCAGCCCTAGCAGGCCGTTGTGTACCTCGCGTCCGCACTCGCAGGCGACGGGGGTACCTTGCCCGCACCACCCTCACGCGGCGACCGGCGGCGCCCAATCGGCCGGCTTGCCAAAATCGATGGCAGAAAATCGATCACGGGTGGGGCCAATCGGGCTGCCGTCGGCCGTCGCGGTGAGGGAGCTCGGGACGACGCGGACCCCTCTGCGGGGCCCCCGCTCGTGCTAGCGCCAGCCGCGCCAGCCGCGCGAGCTGCAAAGGCTGACGTCATCGGGCTGTCCCTGCTGGTGCTGGGCCTGCCTGCCGGCCTGCTGGGTGTGGTGGCGGTGGCGGCCCTGCCCTGAGCCCCAGCTCTGAGCCCCGCCACTCGCGCCGCACCACTCTGGCCGTGGAAGCGGTAACAGTTGGTCAAACTGGCCTTGGAAAAGCGCGAAAGCGTGAATTTTGCTGCGCGCCGCGCGGCGAGGCTGTTTGCACCCTCTTCTTCAACGTCGGCGTCGTCCTGCCGCGGCGAGGCCGCGAGAGAGGCGCGCTTACATCGGACCGCCAACAGCGGGGGTGCACTGCGAAACGGTTCATTTTCAAGTGTATCGGTTCGCGTGGGCAGCGCGAAAGGAAGGCCGGATATTGCGTTGTAAAAGATGGAAGCGGAATTGGCAGTGTCACTGCAGTTTCTTTGCGTCGACACCTCGGTTTATTGACATAGGCGATCTGCGCGAGGCGAGCGGAGCCTCCCTGATATCGATGTTCGATGCACCGCGCAGCACCGCGCCGTCGAAGCGTCCAAGCCGCCACCGTCCGGCCAGAGCGACTTGGCGCGCGCGGGCTAGCGCGTCGCACACGGCCGTGCACCACACGCCCGTGGCCCCCACGCCCCCGGCACGCCCCGCCACGCCACGCCACGCCACGCCACGCCACGCCCCGGCACGCCCGCACGCCCCCACGCCACGCCACGCCCCGCACGCCCCGCCACGCCACGCCACGCACGCCCGGCACGCCCGCCCGCCACGCCAGCCACGCCACGGCCCTTTGGCACTCTTCCAAGCGAGCGCGCCGCTTCACCCGCCTGAGCAGCCCTACCAAGCCAAGCAAGCGCCCCCGCTGGCCGCCCCGCCCCGCCCCGCCCCGCCCCGCCTCGCCCCGCCCCGCCCCCACGCGTGCGGCGGCCTCCCTAATGCGATGCTTACACGCCGGGCCGCGCCACGCCACGCCGCGCCACTCTGTGATCACGGGATGGCGGGGCGGGGCGGGGCGGCCTTTGGGCCAGTGCGCGCTGAAGCTGCTGGGGCATGCGACCGACGGGCTTAGAGCACACTCACTGAGCCAGCGGAGCGGCGGAGCAGCGGAGCCAGGCACCTGGCGTCTCATGTCATGTCCAGGTAGGCGCGGCGGTCGACGGGCTGCTATGGCGGCAACGCGGCCCCCCGTGCCGCCGCGGGGCGGGACGGCATAGGAATGACATGAGAGGGTCACCATGACGCCGCCATGGGATTGACGTGGGGTCGCGCCACGGGGTTCTCATGGTACGTCACATGGAGATGCATCCCACCGACGGGATGCCATGGAGACAGTGACGGTGACATGAAGAGGACGACACGGCGTGGCGATGCCTGGCCGAAGGGTCCTCTTCCACCTCACGCTCACTTCGGCACCGCTAAGACGGCAATCCGCACCTCCGGCACGATGATTCCGAACGGTGTCGTCTCTCTCGCTCCCCGCCGGAGGCCCCCCGAGTGCGGAAAAGAGAGAGGCAGCCTCGGGGACCTCCGGGGTTCGCGCACTTCCTTGCCGAGCGCTGTCGAATCGGAATGTGGGCCTAATGGACTTATTCCGTCCGACTGCCGTGGCGCCATTTCTCGTCTCGTGCGTTAACAATGAAGGACGTGGCGACAAGCCGCCCCGCCCCGCCCCGCCCCGCCCCGCCCCGCCCCGCGACCGACGGCACGTGCCCTGACCCAATTCTTGGTGCGTCCAGCTCGACCAGCTCGGCCAGCGCGCGAATTAAATTGAAATGAACCGAAAATTACCGGGACAGCGAAGCGAAAGCGACGCGGACGCGGCAGTCTCGTCCGTCGCGACCCCGCCCCCCCCGCCCCGCCCCCGGCCCCGCGGCCCGGCCCCAGCCGACGTGGTTGGCGGTGCTGGCGGCGCGACGCGGACCGTCGGCCAACCAGCGCGCGGCGCGCCGAGGAGCGGCCAGGCGCGAGGTAGGCCACCCGGCCGCGGGCCCTGCGCTCGGGTGGCCTACCCTGGGATGTCAGGCGCTCCCCGCGCGGCGCGCCTCGCCGCCCGGCCACGCCGCGCCGCCGCACAGTGGGCCAGAAGACCGGTGGAGGCGGCCAAAACTCTAGACGCGTTTTGAGCTCCAGAGTCGCTAAGCAGGACTCGAACCGAACGTGTGACCCCACCAATGGATTCCTCGTTCGGAGAGCAATCCATTGGTGGGGTCACACGTTCGGTTCGAGTCCCATTTAGCGACTCTAGAGCTCAAAACGCGTCCGGGATTTTGACCGCCTCCATCGGTCTTCCGGCCCACTGTGCGATGCAACCGTGTCGAGAGGGTTGCCTTGATCTCAGCCTGCCTGCACGGTGACTTTTCGGGGGCGCAGCCCAGGTTTGCCAAGGACAGTGTAGGAGGCAGGTTGAGGTTGGCTGCGCCCATCGGGGGACTTGGCGCCGAGGTGGCCGAGGCTCTCCACGGCCTCGGTCGCCGACTCGGCGCGGCTCCGTCCGCCCGATAGAAAACTCATCACCCCGTAGCGGCGCTGCAGCCAATTGGGAGCGCTTCCGGTTTCCGGTTCACGTGTAGCAGTGTAGCGGCCCACCGGAAGTTGCCTGGGAATTGGTGGAATTGGTGCAGCGGGATGCACAGAGTGTTTGTGTGTGTGCGTGTGTGTGAGTGAGTGGCTGCCGAGCGCGGCGACGCCGACACTCCTGGACATCGACGTGACGTCACTCCGCGCGCTGCATCTTTGATGGCCTCCGAGACGGAGATCCGTGTGGCGGTGACCGGCAGTGACACGGTGACGGTTGTGGGGCGAGTCTATATTTTAAACGGCCATCCCGTGATTGATACGTCACGTCCGCCGCCGTCGCGGTGGTGACTCCGCCGGCGACGTTTTCTCCGCCACGGACTTGTTGAGCTGGGCGACGCGACGACGCGCCTGAGGCGGCGCGGTGCGTTGCCTCCGGGCGCCGTCGTCGTGGTCACCGCCGCCGTTTTTCCGCGTGGCGGCGTCGTCGTCATGGTCGCCCCGCAGTACCCGTTGTTCCTGGCGGACTGCTTGTTGTCTTCGGGCCTCCGGCGCGCCTTCGGCCTTCTTCGGGTCGATGGTGGCCGCGGCGATGTAGGCGGGTCAGGCACAGCAGGCACAGAAGGCACGGCCGCCTAGCTCGGGCCGGGCCAGGGCGAGGGCCAGGGCGGCCGCGGCCTAGAGCCGCTTCGTTCGCCCCCTTCGTTCGCCCCCTTCGTTCGCCCCCTTCGGCCGACCCCGACCTTCGGAGCTCCGCTCGTCGCGGGGCTGTGGGGCTGCCACGGGATGGCGCGCACACTATGAAAAACGGCGGCGGTATGAAAAATCGCGGTGTACGAGCGACGCAGCCTCGTTGCGCCCCCACCCCCTCCCACCAACCCCACCGACTTTGCCTCCGCCAGACGGCATAACGAGGCCAGATTTTCCGCCATGTCATCGTCGTCGTCGTCTGCTTCAAAGTGTGCTTTGTGTGTCGCAGCGTTCCCGCTGCGTTCCCCCACCCCCCGCCTCCGCACCGGACCAGCACGCCTCTCAGGACACCATGGGGCGCAAGAAGATCCAGATCTCCCGGATCACGGACGAGCGGAATAGACAGGTGAGGAGGCTAAAGCAAAAGTGGTCTTTTCTCCCTTTCAATTATTTTTTATACGGAGAAGGTTGCTTTCTGTGACGTCCTTTTCCCCCGTTTTTTCAAGTTGCTTTAGGATGTTGTTGTTTTTGTTGTTTTTAAAATAAGAAGATTGCTTATTATGTTGTTGTTTCGCGCAGGTGACCTTCAACAAGCGCAAGTTCGGCGTGATGAAGAAGGCGTACGAGCTGAGTGTGCTGTGCGACTGCGAGATCGCACTCATCATCTTCAGCTCGTCCAACAAGCTGTACCAGTACGCGTCCACCGACATGGACAAGGTCCTGCTCAAGTACACGGAGTACAACGAGCCCCACGAGTCCCTCACCAACAAGAACATCATCGAGGTGAGCTGCCTGCTCCTGATAGCTTTTGTTGTTGTTTGTGGTGTGTGAATCCGACATAACCCTCTCCACTCTCTCCCCCTCCAGGCATTAAACAAGAAAGAACACAAAAACGGGAACTGCAGTCCAGACAGCCCGGAGCCTGACACGGAGTTCTCACTCACGCCCAGAACAGAAGCCAAATATTCAAAAATTGACGAGGAGTTCCACCAAATGATGATGCATCGTCCCCTGAACGGTTCACGGGTACGTTCGTTGACGGCGTCCTCCCCTTCCTCCTCCTCCTCTTCCTCCTCAAGCTGGGGGGTCCGCCGGGCGCGCGGTCTGACCTCGGTGGCTGTTGCAGGTGCCCATGCCCCAGTCCAGCTACACCCTGCCTGTGTCCGTGCCGGTGAGCTACAGCGACGCGGGCCTGCTCCAAGCCAGCCCCCAGATGGCCCACACCAGCGTCAGCCCGCGGCCGTCGTCCTCGGAGACGGACTCGGGTACGTTGTCCTTACATAAGTGTGCCCTCGTTGAAGGCGGCGGGCGCGGCGGGCGCGCCAGGCGGCCGCGATGTCTGGTTACGTGACACGCCTTCGGGAGGCGTTGCGTTGCGTGTCGTTGCGTTATGTAAACGTTTGTGTTGCTTTCCCGCTTGGCAGTGTACGGCGCGGCCGGCGGCATCCTGGAGATGAGCAACGGCTACCCCAACTCGTCCAGCCCGCTGGGGGAGTCGCCGCCGCCGCCCGGCGCGTCCCCGGGCAAGGGCAAGCACTCGCCGCGCCTCCGCGTCCTCATCCCCAGCCAGAGCCAGGCCGGCCAGCCCGGCCACGCGCTGCAGCACGACGGCGAGGACGTGGCCGCCGACTCGTGCCATTCCAACGGCGAGCGCCTGTTCGACGAGGTGAGTCCTCTCCGCACACCTGTCTGCTTTTGTCATTTTGGAGAAGGGCGCCGCGCCGCGCCGGGGTGGACGGGATGGGGCTTCTGGGATTAACTAATCTAACCTAATCTAACACCAACGGCATCTGGCCGCCATATGCCTGGAAGTAAGCCGCGCCAAATTGGAAGCCGATACGCCCTCACGTGGCGGGCCTCGCGTCACGCGGCGTCACGCCTCAAGGAGATAAGGCGTCCAAGGAAGCCGCGATCCGCAATATCGCCACCATTGCCGGGGCTGTCGGCTTTGGCGGCACGTCACTGCGATATGATGGCATTTCGATGTCGTTTCGATTCGATTTTTGAGTCGTTACAAGTCGGATGGCCCGCGGACGCCGCAGGGTGCTGTGTGTAGGAATCGTTGGGCATCACTCTGTGCCTGTCACTCGAAATTAGGTTCCCTAATCATGTTGTTACGCTCACCGAATACGACATATCGAGTATCGAACCTCAAAAGAAACGTTTAACATTTTCTTCAAGTTGGCAATCTGAGCCCTCTTGAGCCTTCGCGCCCTGTGCAACTAACCTCACCTAACCTAAGCTAACCCAACTAACTGGCCAATGGCATGTTGCTTTTCCGCTTGCGCCCGCGGCTCGTCAGCAGCAGTCCTTCCACGGCCACTGTGGCGCCAGCTCACTGATGTCGGGCCTGCCTCGGCCGCCCCTGCACTTGCAGACGTCCTCCCTGGCCGGCATGCCCAGCTACTCGTCCTCCTTGACGTCGTTCGGCGCGCAGGACTTCAGCGTGGGCCACGGCGGCGACATGGGCCTGGGCCTGAGCAGCTGGTCGCACCACCACTCCCACTGCGGGTGAGTTGATTTGCACAGGCACCGCCACGGGCACCGCCAAGACGAACATGAATCTGCCTACACTGTTTGCTCTGAATGTCAGACTGACGCCCTCCTCTGCCTGCAGCAGCGTGCCGCAGGTCGCCGTGTCGAGCAGCACGCCGCCGCCCAGCCACTCGCCGCTGCCGCTGCCCCTGAGGATCAAGTCCGAGCCCATCTCGCCGCCCCGGGACCCCGGCAGCACCCTGTCGGCCTCGCACGGCGCGCACGGGCCCCCGGGGCCCGGCCCCGTCGCCGTGCCCGTGCCCGTCGCCGCCCAGCAGCCCCACATCCAGACGCTGTCCATCTCGGGGCTCGGCGGCGGCAGCTCGGGCCACGTGGTGCTCCCCCTGCAGCCGATGACCCACCCCATGAGCCACGCCAGCCACGCGCACACCTCGCCGCGGCCAAGCTCGTCTGGCCACCTGACCCCCATCCCCACTGCAGGTGAGGGGAATCGAGTACACTGTTTGGAGTCGACGGCCACGTTGGCACTCGAAGTAGCCATAGAGCTCAAAGAGAGCCCTCGCCTTCGTCGGCCGCTTTTCCTTGAAGTAAACCTTTTTCCCGTGCGCGGGATGAAAAGGCTCGGACTCGCTTCCCGGAATGTCTCGCTCACCGTCTTTGTCTGCTTCCAGGATCGATAACCCCGACCAATATCGCGTCCCCCGGCGACGCGCGGCTGGACGCGCGGCTCGACGCCAGGCACGACCACAGCCACGGCCACGGCAGCCCCGACTACGAGTCCGGCCCCCTGCAGAAGCGGTCCCGCATGGCCGAGGGCTGGAGCTCATAGTATCAGGCGTCTTGGCCCTGGCAGCAGCGGCAGCAGCGGCAGCCCACCGCGTGCCACGAGCCTGCCATGGGCCAAGGCCCGGGCCAAGGCCCCTACGAGCGCTACCGGGAGATCACGGGATGAAGATGAAGAAAGTACAAATCTTTTTCCAGTGTAGTGCTGCTGCCTGTGCGTGTGGCGTGTGCCACCAGTCGCCGCTTCTGCGGACACAGGACACAGGGACAGGGACCACTGGAGGTCGACAGGGAGGGTTTCTAGTGGATCAAAACTAAGTCAAGGTGCTCTCACTGCCCAGCGAAAGACTCGAAGGGACAACGCTGAGTGAAGTGTCTTTGTAATATGATATTTGGCGCCCATTGACAGTGGTGGGTGCTGGGACATGAGGGGCGAATATGATCCCAAAATGTGTGTACTTAAAGAGTCATAGAACAGTAAGATATGTCAAATGATGAGAACAATGTATGAGTGAATGAGGCTAAGTCTTGTGATTTGTAATTTTTTTTTCTGTAGGAGAGTGAGTTTGTTTGATTTCGATTTGTTTTAATTACAATCCTTGTATGTTTGTGTGGATTATTTTATCTTCCTTTTTTAAGGTGTTACCTTTTTTCTTTCATACAGAATTTTATTTACTTGTTTATATCTATTCTATATATTATGAACGTTCTTCTGTAGAAATCTATGTGTGCATACCTACCATATCCCCTTAATTATTTTCAAAATAGCAAACGGTTTTTCTAGACTCCTAATTTTATGAAAAGATCCAGCACAAATATATGTAAAGTAAAACCAAATATTAGTGGTGCAAATTAATTGATTTGTGATCATGTAGGAATTTGTAAATTGTTATGTATTGATTTTGGTGCCATATCCAGTCTTGTCTGAGTATGTATGTAAGTCATTTGAGTGATTCAGATTGAATGTTCTTCATGCCTTGTTAATGATTTGATATTTGTATAAAATTATAGGTTCTTCAAGTTTTACTTTTGAGATTTGGTATTTTTGTTTCATAAAATGTTTGAATTGTTATTGAAAGTGAAGAATCTTCATTATGAATGAAGGGATGTGTTCAAAACTTTCATGTTCAAGTTTTCACTGTAGGCTGTGTTAAAACCCTATTCTGTCAGATTAGATGTAAATAATTTGTAAAGATGTTAAGAAAGTCGTGTCAGTCTTCAAGTGTTTGGGACCCATGTAGTCACTGATTGTGTTAAACAGACTCCAAAACTTACCTCCTGACTATTTGAAGTAGGCATTGTTGTGGAGTTTGTCAGTTTCAACCTGCAAAACTGACTGTATGTCCTTACAGTCACTGTATTAGAAGTATAGATGCATGTTCTCTAAAAGAAATCTTCCTAATTAGTTGCTCAAGCAGCAGTATATTAAACAGTCCTTTTTATAGTGTATTCTGAAGATTGTGATGTTCTTGCCACATCTTGTTCATTGCCGGAGAATCGTTGTTGCTGCTAGTAATCATAATTAGTAGTTTATTGTTATCAATATATTGAACTTGCCTGGAATCCGTTTTCTCTTCATCCACGTGCCATCACACACCATTCTGTCATCGTATCCATCCCATACGCTTATCTGTGTAAAATTAAGGTATTATCGAATAAACAACTAGATATCCAGCTGAATATTTTCTTCTATTGAAGGCCAAACGTCGTTGAGTGCAAGGGGTAGAGTCGTGGCGTCGCGGAGTATCGCGGCTGTAGGGAAGACCCCTGCACGGAAGCGCGGGGTATGGCCGACGCGCTGCGGGGGTAGCGACGGGCCCAGGTGAGGGGTGGGACCAACGCGGGGTATCGACCGCAGTGGGCGCTAAGTGGCCCACCACAGGTCTGAAAAAACAAAACAAACAGAAAACTCATTGTGTTCGTATATTGTTCCTCATAAAGTGAGGGTGAGGGAGAATCCCCGGGGCCGGTGAAATTATAAAACAGCCCCCTGACCTCGCGCCGCGCGAAAAGCCAACAAAGGACACAAAAACAAAAAAACAACGCGCTGAAACAGGGAGGACACGAAATAAACATGCTCACTAGTCTCTGTGGTTTACCGCCCCGAACAGGTATGCAGGACAACAATGAAAACGCAGGCCAATTGCCTTCCTTTGCTTTTTGGTCGCACGTGAGGCAGCTTTTCCTCTTGGTGCGGGAGGCGTGGGGCGATTCGGCGGTTGCAGGCCAGGTCGGTGCGCGCGGTGTGCGCTGGCGCAGGCCACGCAGGCGTGCACGCCCCGGCTGCAACACCTCGGCGCCGCCACGCCGCCACCACGCCATCGATTGCCATGGTTGGGATGCCGCGCGGCGAGGGCGGCCCGCCACCACGCCGCCACCATGGTGGCCCTGCAGGGCGACCGGGCCACTGCCACCGGGACCACCAGGACCAGGGCGGCGACGGGGTGCATTCGGAGTTCGTCATGCAACCCCCGGAATGTGGCCAGGAATGGGACATGTGGGCTGGGGCGGGGAGGGCGGTGGAATCACATCGGCGTGCCCGGGGCGGGGCGGGGCGGGGCGGGGGGGCGGGGCGGTAGGAAGACACTCAGCCGACTATCGGGCCGCCACCGCAGACCAACTTAAGTCTCCCCGCCGCGCCCCGCCCCGCCCCGCCGCGCCCCGTCGGCCCGCCGCCGGACTGCCTAAACAAAAGGGGTGATCGGCCCGCGCTGGGTTTGGCGGCGGCGCGGGGCGGCGGGGCGGCGGGGCGGCCGGCCGGGGGGAGGCTGGCGGGCTGGCGGGGTGCGGGGCTTCGATCGAGGGCCATGCGCACCCCATAGCGCCTTCCCCGTGCTTCCCCGCCGCGCCCCGCCCGGTCCCGCCCCGCCACCCACAGCCCGGCCCAGCCCGCCAGCCAGCCCGCCAGCCCGCGTGGTGCCGAGGGTAGGGGCGGTGTGGCGGCAAGGCGGCGGGGCGCGCGGCGGGGCGCCTCAGTGTGCGGTCGGAGGGGCTGCATGGCGTTGGCTGCCTGCTGCCTGGGTCCAGCCCGCTCCCCGAGGCCGAGAATCGCCGCGCTCTCGCCGCGTGCTGCTGGTGCCGCTGCCGGGTTGGCCGCCGCGCCATGTGAACCCTCTCCCCGCTCGGCCCCCCCGGCTCGGCCCGCACGCCCTGGATGCCTGGATGCGCGCGACGCGCGTGTGTGAGACAGAGACCGGCGCCGCGCTGGTGTGCGTGAGTAGTGAGTAGTGCCGCGATGACGCCGGGCCGGCTGCGCCTTGGGCTGCGCCGGCGTGCCCGGGCCGGCCCCCTCGTGGGGCTGGCGCTCGGCGTGCTGCTCGCGACCCTTGTGGATACCAGCACCCAGTTCGACTTCACCAAGGCCAACTTCGAGGCGGCCTTCCAAGGTGGGTGCCACGTCTCGGCCGTCCGCGCCGTCGGGGCGACAAAGCAGCCCTTCGCCGCCTGCAGGACTGCAGCGGGACTTGAATTTAGGCTAATCGCGATCGCTTCCCACTTGGCTCGCGTGCGCGGCCGCACCGTCCCTTGTGACTTCGAGCGGTCGCGGGTTCGAATACCGGGTCGATGTCGTTTTAGTGCCTTTTGCCGCCGTGGCCGCCGTGAAACCGGCTTGCGCGGAGTGGCACACCGCGTGCACACCTGTGCCTCCCCTGCCCTCTGGCCCTGCCCTCTGCCGCGCGCGCTGGGCGCGAGGGACGCCGTTGAGGCCGCGTCCACCTGGCGAGGATCGGGCCGCCGTCGGGCCGTGCCCGAGGGAGGCTGATTTGTTGTCGCCGCCAAAACTTTCTTTATTTGCGCCGAGGAGGGAAGGAAAGCTGTCGCGCCTCGTCTAACTTCGCCGCCGGCCTCCAGGCTGCTGCTCCAGGACCGGGTGGAGCGGAGCGGCGACCCTCGCCGGCACACGTGCGCTGCGGCGGGGCGGGGCGGGTGACAGGTGCGGCGGCACGGCGAGACGCCGTGCTGTTGATTCGAGGCGGCGTCATGAGAAATCGAACGCCGTCCGGCGGGGCCAGCGAAGGCCGGCCACGTCCCGCAGAAGGCCGTGCAGACCGTAATCATCCCCTGGAGCACCTTGCTTTTGCCGAGGTCGCCGTCCACAAAGGCCATTTCCAGTGCGCCGCCACCGCCATTCACTTCGGCGTTGCGCACAGTGTAGGGGCCTTTCCAAGGGAGACTCACCTTTTTCCGCCCTCGGCCGCCTGAGCCCCCGCCGCCCTGCCTCGTCACCCCGCCACCCCGGACTGTAGAAGGGAGCCGCAGCGTGGCGACGCCGACGTGGCGCACGGAGCACCCCGTGATGTCCGTCACGGGGGCGACGACGGGGCCGCTGTTGCGTCGCCCGGGCCCGGCCCGGCCAGCACCCCTGCACTGTACAACTTGTTCGCGGCCCCGCGGTGCCGACGCCTCCACCTTAATGGCCCTGTCGGCCCCCGGTCGCCCCCGGTCCCCCGGCAGACTGATCCCGAGAGCCGTGTCCGTCGCTCTGTCTCTCTCGCACCCATACGGGACGCCCCACGAGTGGGAGAGAGACGGAGCGACGACAACGACTCTCGGAATCAGTCTGCAGTGCAGCCGCCCCATCAGGCCGTCGGCCGGGCCGGCATGGAACGGCCGCTGCAAAATGCATGGCGCCATTCTGCGCGTCATTAGCCCGGCCTCGCACCGGCCTGGCCCAGCCTGGCCACGCTAATTTCAGCAATGACCCACCGGCCGCCCACGTCGCTCTGTCTCTCTCGCACACACGTAACAGTGGGGGCATCGGAGGGGGAGGGGGACTTTATTAAGAAAGAGGCAACGTACTTCCATATGGGGCCGCGAGGTGCACGTCGCCGCCGCTACCAACAACTCCCTTTTCTTAAAAAAAAAAATCTCATTCAACGAACGTTAATGAAAGCAGATGATCCGTCGCGTTTCACAACTGCTGTGATAGCCGAGAGGTTAGAGACGTGGGATCGAGTTACCGCAGGCGGGCGTTCGAATACCAGCGTCACATACGTTTTTTCGACTTACTATCCTAAGGGTGGTGGTTCGAGGCCATCCGAGCGGAGCCGTGTGCAACAGACCCACATGCCGGAGGTTCGACTCCTAAGAAATATTTCCATTTAATTTTACTGCCTCACCCAGTGCGGTTGAAACCCGTGAACGTGAGCCCACGCCGTGCATAGGACGTGGTGGTCCAGGGAAAAGAGGCGTCGGTTCCCAATTCTAGGGTCGGCGGTTCGACTCCCCCAACTTCTTGCGAAATTTTGACCGGGTCGGTCGAGTCCTGTTGCGTCAAGAACCCACCTCACGCCGGTCCCCTCATCATGGGCCGTGGTGGCCGAGAGCGTAAAGTCGTGTGATCCCGGTGGCGAGGTCCGGGGATCGAATCCCATCATTTCATTACATTTTTCTACCGCCTTCCTCCCAGTGCAACTCAAACCCGTCGTCCAACACGCTACCAGACGTACAAGCGTGATAGCGTAGTGGTCAGAGTCACATTCACCTGGCCACTCCGCTGTGGGTGTCTAAAAAGCAATCCGCTTCGGCGGGTTGGCCTCGGCACTGGAGCGATGGCGTATTTGATCCATCAATCCAGACCATCCGGTGTGTGGTTGCGGGTGGTGCCTCCTCGATTCGTCGGGGAGGCGATGATAAGTCCTTTGAAGCTGGCCTAAAACGCTGTATGTTCGGTACGGGAGCGCCGGACAGTGGGGGTACCATGGGGTACACAACCAACCCTACGAAAACAAGAAGCTCCCACCAAACCTCTTCTCTGTCTGAGTCTCTCTCTGTCTCTCTGTCGTCTCACTCTACGTCCCGCCCCTCAAAGAGCTTCACACTGGGTGCTCCGACCCAGCTGTCTGAGCTTTGGGGTCCTACTGGGTCCCCCGGCGAACGCTTGGGTCGCTGACGGGATTAACCCCAGGTACCTGATAGCACCGGTTCCCATCCCGAACACCGAAGTAAAGCAGGAGGCCTCCCCATTAAGACTGGGGAGGGGGTGTAGAGTTCAAATTTTTTTCTTTTCCCTTTCAAATTTCTCAGTCAATACTCGTTCGGTTTCCTTATACGGGGTAGTATGCGGGCTCATTCCAAAGATAGTAATTAAAATTGTGTATGAAACAAAATATATAGACCCGAGCGAGGTGGCCGGTGTTGGTACTTTGGTACTAGCCGTGCCGAGCTGTGTCCTGCACCGCCCGCCGCCGAGCCCGAGCTGGCCCGAGTGCCCCGGGCCGGGCCGAATCGGGAGGCATTGTTGCGCGATATTCCGCGCCGTGGCAGGCGGGGAGGGATTGTCAATGTTGCGCGCAGGCCGTGGCAGGCCGTCGCGAGCGAGGAGGGGGTGCCATTGTTTAGGCCCGGTGCCGCTGGCGCTGTACCGTGGAGGGATTGTCGAATTCCGCGCAGGCTGCGCCTCATTGCCAGCCAGCCAGCCACACGCACCAGCCCGCCCCGGCAGCCAGCCCCTATTATATTGTTTAGGATACGCGCTTCGTTTCTGGACTCGAGAGTAAAAGCACGCTGACACCTTCATGTGTATGGTAGTTTTAAGTATGTTTCAAGTGTGAAGGTATCATCAGCTAAAAAGTTTCAAGTCGCAATGAGCTTGTTGCCGATCCCGGCCACGATGGATGGTCAACCCGATGTGCTGGTTTCTGTTTGGTTTCGTTCCGCTAGGAAGCCATCGCATCGAACCAGAGCGAGGCGTGTAACCCGATCGGCGTAGTCGATCTCGACCTGTTCATACATGTATGCACTGTGTCATATTATTAGGACCATCCGCGAAGAAGCGGTTTGGTCCCGGCAAAAATTAACACCTGAGTGGGGGGGAACCCAGGTGTTGGCAGTTGGGCGACCCCTGTAAATTACCTGATGGAAGGCGGCTGTACCTATTAAATTGGCAACGTATACGCGGAGCGCGAGGATCGCGCCGGCCGAGACCCGCAGCGCTGTCTGTCGGCCGCAACGCGCAACAGCCAGCGGCAGGCGCGTCGCGTCACACGTCGCTGGGCCAGCGGGCCGCATCCACGGCACCTTGTCGACGCACACGACTAACTAAAAGTGTGTCGACGCTTTTGCCTCTTCCCGAGTTGTATGATATCGGGGTGCGTGCGTTTAGTGTTCTCCTACACCGGCAGAGTGCCGCAGACTTCCTCGTACCGGCCCGGAGAGGGGGGAGGGGGAATTCGAAGGCCGCTGCAAGGCAAGGGCCTCGCCGCGCGCCGCGCGTTTATCGAAGGCCCTTTCTCCTTTTGGCGCCAACGGCAGGGGTAAATTTAATAGTGGCGCGGAACGGAGCCCAAGCCGCCACCGTGCTCTCTTTTATCTCGACCGGGATCAAGCAACTCAGCCGCGCCGTGCCGTGCCGCGCCGTGCCGTGCCGCGCCGTGCCCCCTCCGCCGGAAATTGGTGCAGGGCGTGGCGGGTTGGCGGTGGCGGGGCGGACTCGGCAGACTCCAGTCGGTCACGTGGCGGTGTTTGCGTTTCTTATTGGCCGACGGCTCCTCTTCCCGGTCTTCCCTCCGCCGAGGCCCCGCCGCTGTCTCGGGCTTGTTTGATGATGGCCTATCTCACTCGCCGGGACCTGCCCGCCTGCCTGCCTGCCTGCAGACTGATTCCGAGAGTCTTTTTCGTCGCTCTGTCCCTGTACGGGACGCCCCACCAGTGCGACGGAGACGGAGCGATGAAAACGACTCTCGGAACCAGTGTGCTGCCTGCCTGCCTCGCCTGCCTGCCTCGCGATGTTGGCGGGGTGCGTCTCCTCCGCCGCCCTTTCAAGGTGCTCTTCTTTTTCTACACCAGGATTATTCTGCTTAATCCTTGGTCTCACCCACCGCACCTTGACACAAGGACGCGGAGTCACACGCACGCGTACACAGACACACTTTCTCTCTCTCTCTCTCTCTCTCTCTCTCTCACGATCGAACACCTCGTGTGCCCTTTGGCCCGTTGGCGCCCCGCCCCGCGGCGTGTCCGGCCGGCTGCTACGTCCTGCAGGTCACCGCCTTGTCACCGCGTTGGCGGCGGCTATTCCGGAGCGACAGGAAAGGTCGCGCCGAGGTGGCGGCGGTGCTACACTCCCCCTCCCTCCCCCCTTTTTTACAGTGGCGGGGGCTTTCGTTTTATTTGCGGCGAAATCCAAAATAATCCCGCCACCTTTTTTTTTTGGTCACGGCCCCTTCCCTGTCATGTGGGGGTAGGAGTCAGGCAGGTCACGAAATGGAGGCTGATGGCGTCGAAGGGGTGGCGGTGCGGCTCACTGGCCCGGACTTCACTCCATTCAGCTGGCTACTGCCACTCTCTTCAAAATTTCAACTTCGTAATCTTGAATTTTGATAATTATTTTTCAATTTTCAATGAAAGTCGCGGGAGTGCGAAGAGCGCATTCCAGAGTAATTTT